CTGCATAAGTTTCAAGTGTACAATTCTGTAATACATCATCTATATATCACATTGTGTGTTTGACCCACAGCTCTTAGATCCAAGGATATAAAATTCTACCAGTCTCCTGTAAACACCTCCCTTTCTAAACATTATGCCCGAGGTAAATAACCAAAAGTCAGTATCTGATCAGGACCTGGACAAACTACATTAAGTGACACTCCCCCATCCTGTCGTATCTATAGACTCCGTATCTGCTTCAGGGAAATAAATACCTGTTAAAGCTTTAGCAACCTTATTTCAAAATTGATCCTGAAATTTTATGACTCTTTTGTGACATTTTCATATCAGGTCCTAAGATTACTCATTAGTGTTTGAATTATATAATTTTAACAATTCTGTATTGGAGATTTTCCATTTCTTGATCAGAACAGGTTTTAGTTCTTTTCACTTCTGTCCATAATGCTTTTACATATGCCTCCTTACTTTTTAATGCTACAAGAACATATTTGGTTTTAATCTCTCCAGTTCCACTGCCTTTTTAATTTATACAGACTTAGATAGCTATTATTTGTCCATAAATAGTGCAGAGGAAAAAGAAAACAAGGAACTCATTTAACCAATAATTATTCTCTGACTCTTAAAAACTTAAAATGGATAGATTTTTGGCTTTAACAGTTCTTCACCAAAGACCAAAGAAAACACTACCCTAGCATCCAATAACTTTGATAAAGAGACTCTAAATCAAAGCCTGTGCAATAAACCTTGGCATGTTCAACCTCTGAATGCCATCAGGACAGAACTGTGAAATATTCCTTTCAGGAGAGAATATTCTCAGAGGCTACATTTATAAAGAAGATGAATTTGGATTTTGAAGGAGGTTTTGGCAAAATAACTTTAGACGAATTTATAAACTACCCAAGCAGTTAAATATACTCCTAAGTTGTGTTTGTGAGAGAGAGGATGTTATTTCTCTTCTAACTCCTAACATTAATAAAGAAGACTGTATTTGAGGAAAGATGATTCATTTAAAAGAAGGCACCAATAACATGCAGATCAACTAAGTTATCCCTGGGTAAATGTGGTATTTGCCTCTGCTTAGTGTGCGTCTTTGCAAATCTCTGCCTATAAAGAACTGGAGGAAAAGAAATTAAAAGATGAAAGCATGATGACATGAAAAGAACAAAGGACAGCCCTTTTTTATTTCCTTCCTTTTTGAGGCTTTTGAGCCTCGCCTTTGTGCATGGCCCGCTCCAAACTCTTTGGAATGTAATTTCTCTTCTAATAATGGGCCCTTGAGCCATTCTCTACTGCTTGGGCCCACTTCTATTTCTTTAAAATGTAGTATCTCTTCTAATAAACTTCTTTTTCACCCCCCCCCAAAAAAGAACAAAGGACAGAGTCAGGAAATCAATCTATCTTGACTGTGCCACTCGACAGCTATACAGCCTGGGTCCTCAGTGTTTCCTAATGTGTATAGTCAATGGGTTTGTCTTAAGGATCTCTAACGTGCCATGATATCTCTATTATCAGAATAAAAATGGTTCCCTCTGTTTTCCAATAAGGCTTTTTTTATAACCTTGTGACTAACAGAGATTTCTCATTTTTGGAAAAACCCTTTAGACACAATGCTTAGGTCTAATTATTACTAATGAAAGGAGAACCTTCAATTCCTCTAACCACCTAGGATCCTGATGAGAGGTTTGGAAAGCTTTTCAGGCAGAGGCTGGAGGGGCATCTGTTTAGAGATATTTGTGGTCTATTATGTTAGCAATTTATTCTTTGGCCAAGGTACAAACTGCACTAGATAATCTCAAAACTACACTCCAGCTCTCATATTTCATCTGTCACAGAAATCATGCTAAGTTTTTATCTAAAATGTCTCACACCCTCCAGACACTGTGTGGAATTAGAAACCAGCTGCATTTGCCAGACCAAACAGAAAGGCTGGAGTTTCCAATTGCAGATTAGCAGGAGACCCAGATAATTTGCTCCTCTCTCTAAATTTCACACGGGATACACAAAAAACACACACATTTCCCCTTTTCTCCTGCCCCATTCACTGTCTGTTAAGACTTTCTCATTTTGCCAGGGCTGGGGGTCTTGTGACATTTTCCTAAGTTCAGAGACACAAGGCCCCAACCAACGTTACTACTGCCAAAGGTGCCTCTGCCTGGTGTGTCAAGATCCTTGCAAGATGCTAGGGGGTAGCATCCCTCCGAGCTGCCCAAGTCTCCCTTCTTCGACCTCTTGAGCAGCATATGAGACATCTCCAGGCAAATTCCCTGGTTTACCATCTTCCTCTCTACTGAAGAATTTAAAGCTCCCTCAAAAATGCAAACTAAGTCCTCTCCAAAAGTAGCCTAAGTCTCTGGCTTTGTTAACATTTCTTTACTGTTAGTAGGAAATGGTAAATCTTTATTCGGTCCTACAGATAAAATAATTCTAATTATTTCAGGACAAGCTGCTGTTGCTCGAGTTCTGATCTCAGAGCGCCCCCTTGTGGTTGACAGGACATTGACTTAACGAAGAACTCAAGGTCCGCACCCTGAGGTTGTGGGATTTCAAGCAGTTCCCCAGAGGAGTGGTCCTCAAACTTCAGTGTGCATCACAATTATAAATAAAGTTTTATCAATATTTGGGTGAAGAAATCCACCTTGTAGACTATGATGTTTTAAATTAGCTTTTCAGAAAACTAAAATGCAGAACAAAATTTGAGACTCTGTCTCAGAAAAAACCAAGTCAAACCTCCAAATTTTGGCTTAGGACCAGTGTTTCTCAAATTTTAATATGTATCGGAATTGCCTTGTGTTTTTAAAAATATTCCTGTGCTGAATATACTCACTCAGAGATGCTTTAGATTTTAGGAAGGTCTAGAAAATGATTTATTTTAGTTTATTTATTTATTTTTAGCTGAGCCATCCTGCTACCTGTTGGCAGCTCAGTGGCAGCTCAGCTTGGGCTGAGCATCAAACCGGTGACCCTGTTGCTCAGAGCTCGCACTCTTGAGTGAGCTCTTAACCAACTGAGCCACTCAGCCGGCCCTAGAAAATTATTTTAAAACAGACACCCCCAAGGTATTCTGTGGCAGGTTATCCTGAGAAATGCTTGCAAAGACAGTTACATGCCCTAGGTAGAAAAAAACTGCTAGGGGTTAAAGGAGAAACTTCTCCCTCTTTGCACAAGGAAAAAAAAATCAGTTTCTAGATGCCATCATTTAATGTCACGAGACTATTTTTTATTATTATTACTTTAAAAATCAGGGGGCTGGCCGAGTGGCTCAGTTGGTTAAGAGCTCGCTCAAGAGTTTGAGCTCTGATTAACAGCGGTTCGAGTCCTGGCCCGAGCTGAGCAGCCACTGAGCTGCCAACAGGTAGCAGGATGGCTCAGCTAAAAAATAAATAAATAAATAAAAATCAGACCCACGATGGGAAAGTTAGAATGATATATTTTCTAAAGGACAGACCTAGTCTTTTAGTAACATGATCTGCTTGGATCAGCGATCTGGAGGAGGCTTCAGAAGCCATCCAGGCAGACTCCTAGAGGCTAGACCCAGAGAGGTTAGTCACTAGGTCAAAAAATGAATAAACAGGCTGCAAGTTAGCTCAGCTGGTTAGAGTGCAAGTTCTTAACATCAATGTTGCCGGTTCAATCCCCACATAGGCCAGTGAGCTGCACCCTCCACAACTAGATTAAAAACAACGACTTGACCTGGAGCTGATGGGTCCTGGAAAAAACACACTGTTCCCCAATAAAGTTAAAAATAATAATAATAAATAAATAAATACCGACCTCACAAGTACTACAGTGCATAGAACAAGCATCTGAACTCAAAGCTATATGGTGGGACATCAGAGAATGACGAAAGGATCTCTGAACACACCTCATAAAGAAAGTGTGGTTGGCCACCTTGACCTTAATGTGGATGCTGGACAGGGTTCCTCCTACTCCTGACGCCCTTGATCATCAGGATCTGTTTATTTTACTGATGTCTATTACCATTTATTATGTACTCCTCTCATCACATTCTTCTCTCACCTTAAAAAGGTGAAAAGAAAAATCAATTCATAGATCTGTGAGAACCAGAGAAACAGTTGGTAAGGGGTGAATGCAAGTGTGCCTTTATACTCAGAAATAAGTCCCAAATACTGGGTTACCAGAATAATTGTTTTAAAGATGCCCAAGTAATTGAAACAATGCTTAGGTGACTGATTTCCAATCCTGGTATGACATAAGCAGAACAACTTAAAATCTCTCAAAAACTATCAAAAACCAAGTTAAATCAATCATTTCCTTTAAAAAAATGTAAACTTTTGCTAGCCTGATAGAGAAAAATCTGCAAATCAAACTATGATCCAAAGGTACCTTAACCGTAAAAAAATTAGAAATGAGTAATCTACATAGAAATTGTTTATTTCCTCCTACCCAAAGTTCCCACCCAAAGTGGACTGTATTAATCAGACCTAGAATGTGGACAACTGTTGCCACAATGACAATACAAATGAACTGTATTATGTATTCTATAGGTCAGACTCTACCTTGGTGATTTTACCACCATTAATTAGAAAACTCGAGTGATGAAAATGGAGCATACACGTTATCTACCCTGGACCCCATCCTCTTCCACAGAAAGACACTATAACTCAGAGGTTAGACTATTTCATCTAGATCACCCAGATAGTTAATTGTGGATGAAGAACTCTAACCCAGGAAAGTTCCTAATCCAGCTCTCAAGGAAATAAAGGCTAAATATCAACTTAAATACTTTTTAAAGTGGTTTAGACACTCAGGCACACAGGATGAGAATATGCCATTGAGGAGACTACAAAGTATTGAGATTGGGCAAGGATCCATTTTCTTAATAAACCCTCAGCACATCCCTACCACAAAAATCTAGACTCATCTGTTCTCTCTCTGCTTTACATCCAGGAAGAGTAGGTTTTAAAATAGTAAGATTCTTCAGAGTTCTGCCTCCTCATAATTAATACAAATGTGCAACCATCAGTTAGAAATAAGCATACCTGGGGACTGAAATCACTCCAGCTCCCGGTTTAGTAGGATTACATCTCATTTTCACAGCAGTTGATCGGCCATTAACACAAGATGTTGTTGTTGTAGAAGACCTATCATAAAGCAAATGTCATTTTGCAAAACAGATATGACACAGGTTACAAAAACAAAAGCATCCTGTGTATCACTGCTCTATAAACAAACGAAAAAGAAAAAAATATATATCAAAGTTCACTAATTTAGAATTTTAATACAAACTGAGCTTATTTATCGCTCTGGCTATGAAAAGTTAACTATTTTCCCAGGTAAAGTAATAAGCTATCAAGGTGTTCAGTAAAGCTTTTATAATTATAATCTAAATTATAATCAAATTTTAAAGGGAAAAACATCAGATCCATTCAGGCTGATGTTTTGATGTGTGAATTTAAATAATTACTGCCTAGATAATAAAGTGGAGTCTCTTTATTGCCTAATTTAAAAGATTATATATATGAGAGAAATTATACAAGGCTTTCAAAATAGTCCATGTTTCCTACTTTTACTAAGTCTTTCATTTAAGAACCAATTACTGATTATCTATTAGTTATAAGCTACTACTCTAGGCATCCTGAAGTGATATCCTTTTGATTAAAAAATATGTCAAGAGAAATAGCATCTTCACTTACTTGTAAAAGAAATGCACATCTGGTATTTGACTTGGTGGAATGGGGAACATATCTTCTTTTATATGAATATTTTGCAAGGTGGTTTCAACTGTCACTCCTAGATGACAACAAAAAAGAAACTATTAAGCAATGTAGGGAAATTAGGCTTATTTAGCCTCCGTGTATCTAAATAGAAAATAGCCACACTTTGATGCTGTGTACTAATTTAATACAGTGATGATAGAATAAGAAACTTTCCAAAGTTCCCAGAAAAAAAAGTAAAATATTCTGCTCTCTAGTTTGTAATTTTGTTTAAGTCACTTTATTTCGCTGGGTCTTAGGTCCTGAATCTGTAAAATGCATGCAATCATTTAGATAATCTCTAAGCCCCCCCCCTCCCCCATGTCTAACATTTCAACAATCTACTAATAATTCTCAACCTGTGGTGAGTTTTGTCGAATGAATGTGGCTACTTTGCTAATACAACTTTTCATTCAGATTATTATGGGCATACTTGACGAAACAAAAATTTGCGTGCCTAATAATTCCAGGAAATAACTCTAAAGTCTGCTTAATCTAAAAATAAGGCATTTTTTCCTCCTAGGCACAATGATGGCAGAGCCAAAATGCAAGCAACAACAGCAACCCTTGCTTCTGACGCAGTGTTCTGTTGCTTAGCACAAGCTCAGTAACTGACCTTGGTGCTGAAAAATAAAGCTAAATTCTTCTGGATTCTATAGTGGTGGTTATCAAATCTGGCTGCACGTTAGAATCATCTAAGAAGCCTGCTAAATCGTCGGATTGTTATATGCCTTGTTAGATTCCTAATCCCCACCCCTGAAAGTCTAATGAACTTGATTCCTAAGAATTACTCATTCTTCTTAAAACTTTCCTATGCTTTTGATACCATAGAGGTAGAAGGGGCAGATAGATAATAAAACTCAATACATTCACCCTTGCTACTTGTCACCAGCTTATTTCTGGTGTGAAGAAAGAGAATGCAAACTGGTGACAGATATTATGATTTAGGTTTGTATTGTGTTTACTGTTCCCCTTTTGTTTATAGTTTTGGTGTTTAAAATTATTTTGCCTCTTAAATTCCTAGAGAACCTGATGAAAGGCACGGACTCTCAGAAAATATCATATCACATATGAATTAATACATAAATTCAGAAGCTTCTTATACTCACTGAGATTAATTAATAGACCTCACTGGTAGGTGCTTTTTAACCATGTCACAAAGTGATGGTTTAGAATTACCTGTGGGCTTTAATCGTCTATTGTAAACACCAATGCACTAACAAGTTATCAGTATCATAATTTTAGAAAAAAATGCATGCATGCATATATGAAACCAGTGACGCTTACCTAAAAATGTGTCTGCCAGAATGATGGATTGTGACGATAAGGCTGCTCGGAAACCCTTACTTTCAGAAGGAATAATCGTTGACTGGCATATAAATGCTCCTACAAGATTTGTGTAATCATCTGACCCTGTCACCATTTCCTTGATTGTAAAGTCTGTTATATTGTTGGTACACAGAGCCATCTTCTTCCCCTAGGAGAATGAAGTCATAAGGAGGTTTTACTGAAGGACGTGCTCTAACTTGGACCTCAGCTACCTCAGCTCATAGAGCAGTGGTTGCCTCCTCACCACAATTCTGATTTGACCTGGTGTGGGGCCAAGGCACCAGTATTTTCTAAAAGCTCTTGAGGCAATGCCAATGTTTAACCAGGGTGGGGGTCACTGAAGTTATCATGAATGCATTAATTCAAGGCTGCAGTGCTCCTCCAACCACAAGCATCATTGTGCTGGATGAAAGCCATCTAACTTAAGGAAATAAAAGTCATCGATGAAATCTTCAATTTGTAAGATAAAAATGCATACAAAAGAGACCAGAAAACTGTTGATGAACGTTTTAATGCCAAAGAAAAAGCTTGCTCTTCCTTCTTCTGCGTAGGCCTACGTGGGACAGAAAAGTAATGTGAAGGCTGAAGAAGAAAGCATAAAAGCCATAATGTAACAGTCTTAGGACAGCGTCTAAACTCTAAACTGTTAGTCACAAGTGCTTTATTCATCTACTCTTAGATTCAGTAATGTGTATCCACTCAACTATATGGTAAGTTGAAGGGAACACAGGGGTTTACTTTTTTAATCACTTAGAGGGTAATTGGAAGATATAATTTATAAAAATTGTAAGACTTTAAATATAGTATGTTTAAATATACTATAGTCCCACTGCAATTGACTATAGCTTGATCTATAATTTCTAGAAATTATATAGATTATAAATTATTATGTAGAAATAAAGAAATGCTATTTGATTGGTCTTAGCTGTAGAGTGGGCACAGGTGGGCATAACAAAAAGAATAAAGATTCTTATTTTTTTTGGGGGGGGGGTCTGCCAAGTGGCGTGTTGGTTAAGAACTAGCTTGGGATGCCAGAGAGCCCCGGTTCGGATCCCACATATGAGGGCCAGTGACACAGCCCTCTGCAGCTAAGATGGTGAACAGCAGCTCGACCTGGGGCTGGGCTGCCATGGGTCGCCGGCGATGGCATAGGCTACAGTCCCTGTGGCAGTGGGTTGCCGTGGGCTACCGTGTGTAGCCAGCAGCCAGCGTGAGTGGCCATCCAGAGGCCAGCGACTGATCTGCCTCTCCCGGGAAGAGCGCAATGATGGTGCCAGCTTGGGCCAGTGAAGCCACAACCTCCACAACTAGACTGAAGAACAAAACAACAGCAACTTGTCTGTTCCCCTTCCCCCAATTCCCCAATAAAATCTTGAAAAAAAGAGAGAGAGATTCCTCTTTTTAATGCAGCTGGCAATCCTAACCTATAAAATTTTCTCTCTCCACTAAGCCTTCTCCCCACAATACAGGTGCAACATATTTTTACTATGCTTAAAATAACTTGTTGAAGCCAGAAAGAGAGAAACAATGGAAAAGAGCAGAAAGAAACTACTGAATAAAGAGAAAAACAACAGTAAAAGGAAAGGAACAAGAATATAAAGGAAAGAAAGAGAAAGAAGACAGAAGGGAAAAAGAGAGAAGATGGAAGAAAAGACAGTGGTAAAATAGGAATAAGATTAAGAAGAAGTATGATATATAATGGAATTAATATTATTCACTGCTTGACACAGTATTTCACGTAACAGGTATTTAACATTAATTTACTTATTGAGTGAACAATCAAGTGAGTGTGTTGGATCGCCCCATCTAAAATCACAACAGGGTGAGTGTCCTAACACGTCAATTGTATAGATCTTTTTGTTTTAAAACTTCTGTGGCCTTAAGATCTCTTTTTATCTCCTTTGTCAAAGTTTGGCACAGCATGTCATAATGAAGACCACTGGAGATACAGTATTTAATATGGAAAAAGTTCTGGAGGAAAGGTCTTATTATATGTTTACCTTTGCTAATGGTGAATATATATACTTATGTCCCAACCCCAACCCTGTATGCCTATAAAAATATTGGACATCTAGTCCTGTGACTCTCCCCATTACCAGTACCAGTTAAGGTTTTGCTTCTTCCCACAGAAAATAAAATCCCATTATTTATTAGTAGAGGACACCTGATCAACTGACACTTGTCCCCTGCTTACCTCCTTTTCATTTTTTGACAAACTTCCTCTTAGTTTTTCTCTTCTTAAAATGGACAACATAAACAACAGTAAAACTTTCTCAAACCATAACTGCCTGTCTAAAATAAAAAAAAAGGTGGGATTGACTGACAAGCCTGATCCACTTTTACAAAACTGAAAGATCCTCAAACCACGTCCACCATAGTTCCAAGCTTTGGGATTCAGGAGACTGGATGAATGCTTAGATGGACTGAGAACCAGACAAGGTTGACCCTGGTGAAGCTGCCAACCAACACGCTGGGAGGCAACAGAGGATTTAAGCAACAAAGCTCTGTTTCTGACATTTGTTTGTTGGTTTCCATAGAGATTTTACTGGGCCATCTACACAGAAATTATCAACTCAATCGAAGCTGATGTGCAGTTCCATCTCACCTTGAGAGCCATGACTCACCTCGTGCCCACATAAACTAATATTGAAGAAGTGGAAGTATTTTGTGCCTTTGGAGGTAAAGCTGGGGCCATTCATTAACGAGCCCACGCTGCTAAGGTTGCTGAAGTCATAGTGCAAACTCTGATTTTCTTTCTCGTGGTAGAAAAAGCAGTCACTATAGCAAACTGAGTGGTCCTTTGGTTAAAGATTAAGGAATGTAAAAAAAATAACAACACAGCAGGAAATAAAAAGAAAGTATTAGCTGCTACATAAAATGTTTTTCAAAAATATTTCTAGATTTAAAATCTATTTCAGTAATGTTGTCTTAGTTATCATGTATTTTGCCATAATAATACAGAGACTTTCTAAATGCTAACTCAATTTTCTTAGGCAAAGGTTAGAAGACTCGAAAGTTTTTAAAGTAAGTTATTCCAAGGTTGGTTTCTTACAGAAAGGTATTTTTAATAAACAGCCAGAAGTCCCTGTTACGTTAGTTTAAATAGACAATAAATCTACTTTCTCCTTCACCCATAATATAAAATCAAACTTTGCCCTTAAAATGGTATGAGATATACCTGCTGCTCTCCACAGACTCCTATAGCCAACATACAGAGGTCGTTTACTTGCTCTGCCTTCACAGAATCACAAGAAATCAATCTTAATATTTTGGGAAAGCATTCTTATTTGGGTGTTGGAAAAGTCATTTATAATTATGACTAGCAACCTCATAGCTCCTGTAGAAACACTAAAGGGAACTTGTGAGTTCCTCTATTAAAATGAGCTTTCCTGGGGATAACTGAGAGACAGACTCACCTGAGTGCTTCTACTCCCAGGCCCACATGGAACACAAGCTTCCTTGCCATAGACCTGATGTATGGACAGGTAGGTGTCAGGTGGGCACTCCTTGCACTGGTTGGTTTCTTTCTCGATGTAATGGCCTGGGGGGCAGGGGACACACGATGAGCCCGACTGTTCAGACCCGAGGGCGCAGGCACGGCACGAGGACGCCACCCCATCAACTGCATTAGTGGCAGTGACAGAATAAATCTTCACCACGTCATTGATGAACCGTCTATTCTAAAAAGAGAGCAGAAAGTAATGACTTCTGCTTTCGGGCTTACTTGCACCACCAGATTGTGTTATGCGGATGTCACGAAAAGAAGCCCAGTGTTCCAGCCTTAGAGTTTACCACCGACGGTGGATTAGTATTATTCCTTTTGGGTTCCTTTTTTCTTAAAAACCTAAATCTTAACACTAGAAGCTAATTTCCACAGTAATGGAGTTCTAGGAGATTTGCCACAATCACCATGAGACGTGCCATAATTGGTACAAACTTGGGCATATGTATAGACTTTACATCTGGAAGAACTGGTATGGTTTAGTAGAGAAGCAACTTGATCTCCCATCATTGTTTATTCAAATATAAGCCCAAATCTAATGCTACAAGAAGATGTTGACCGTGTGGCAGGTGGAAGCCTTGGGCCAGCCTTGGAAGACCAGGACTCTGGTGGTCCTCCTCCAACACAAACTGTAACATTCATGCAATCACACCACTTCTTTGGGCCACTGTCACTCTCTCTAGTACCTTCTCTAACCAACATTCTCTGGTTTCTACTGAAAGATGTAGCATGGAGAGCAAGAACCTGGAGTTTCCTACACTTGACCTTCTTGAGACACTGGGTCCATTAATGTCCTTTTCTCTTCAAACAGTGGGCATCATGCTATCAGTACAGAGCAGCATTACCCTGGACTGCTTAATGCTCTTCGTCTGGGGCAAAGACGCAAGGAAGGCAAGGAAGCATTCCACAGCATGTTCCTGCCCCACTCATGGTCATCGGAACACTCGTAAGTAACAATTGGAATCAAGTAAAATCTGGGGAATGGGTTCCCCAGTGAAAGCCTGAAGAGAAAAGAGAAAACGCTGTCCACTCGCCGCCACAGCTTTAAGGCTGGTTCTGGTTCAGGCAGTTTACCTTGTTCTCACCTTGAGAAGGTCACAGATATTGAGATCCACAAAAATAACAGTCCTGCTACTATTGAAACAAACAATGGAATTTACTTAGGGGAGGATTAAGATCTATTCTAGCAGGAAAAGTAAAAGACAGTAAATGATTCTGTGTTAATCCAATCGTTTGTCCATACATACTCTCTGGGTTATAAAAGGAGACATTACTGCAACGAAATAATACACCAGCACCAGTTAATGGCTTCTGGACAAATGTCATATCATTCAGATGAAGAGGAAGAAAGTCACTAGCCTTTCCAAAGTCTCAAAAAGCTTTAAAAGTAAGCTTCTAAATAACTACAAAATTAGATTGTCCTTCTCTTAAGCTATCAGAGCTATAGTTGTTCAGAGTGTAGATACTATTCAAAGATACACTGCGTTATTCCATTTCATGTGCTCTTGCTCTCAAAAACCAAACCCCCCTAAAATACCATTTTTGTACCAGCCTTCTCCATAACCAAAAGCTGGATTCCACAGCAATAAAAAGCTGTCTTTCATCCAGGAGATTTGAATGATCACTTTGCATGAATCTCCACTGGGGGCATCATTTTCATGTTTTAAAAAATAAAAGTGCTTAGAACTTACATCTTGACCCTGGTTCGTTCTCTGGAATGCCCATGTAAACGTAAATGTTGCATTCTTGAAGATGATGTGGGTATAAGCTTGTTTTTCTTTGGTTCCACCCCATGATTCCACCACGTTGGTACTTTTACTATTAATATCCTAAAATAGAGTAGAAAAAAAATACACAAAAAAGCACAAACTCAGTATTAATAAACATGTGTATACATTACAAATATGTGTTTACATTTACTAACTTAACCCCCTAGGGTTAATAAACATTTATTTCCTGAGCAAGTAACCCTAGAACTCTCAAAACTACCCTTCAAGGCTACAAAAGCACTCACTAGCTTAGTAATTACAATATATCAACCACATTGTTAATATAACCTGAAAAAGGTCTCAAATCATAGCTTGTTTAAGGGTGGTGTGTGTGTGTGTGTGTGTGTGTGTGTGTGTGTGTGTGTGTCTACCTTAGGAAATATATTTAGGGAAACATTATTCCTCACACTAAACTTCTCACAGTAAACCTCTAGGATTCTTATAAAATGGAAAGGCTTTCCATTTTTATCTTTTGCTTTGAGAGATTCTGATAGGCAGCTCTTGCACAGAAATTCTAAGTTCTCCCTGACATATACTTGTAGCCTGCAGGCTTACCCAAGTGCAGATAATAAAAATTCTATTTTATGTTCATGAAATATTCTATACTTGAATTCCAATAGGATTACTTTGTGTAGTATTTTATTTCTGATTTCCTTAGCTAAATTCAATATTTAGAATATCATATGAATGTGTGACATTCCAACCCATATGCTGTCATTAATATGGTTAGAAAGGAAATCTAATAAATAAATCAACCATATAATGTAATACACATCTTATTTATTTGAAATGAAAACCAAGGTTAACCCTGAATTTTCTTATTAGTTTTCCCTGCAGAAACCCTAATAGATGACTTAAGAATTTTGGATGGGCTTCTGTTAGCTATCTGGGATGTTGACAATATGGTGGCATGAGCTTAAGACATGTCTCTTTCTGATATAAACACAGGAGTTAAACATGTTATAAAGTAATCAAATATGCTATAAAGAGATGTGTCTTGAGTTCACACCACAGACAGGCATAACAGAATGTGCTTGTCATACATTATAGGATTCCCCACATTACCAAACAACCAAATCATCAGACATGCCACTTCTTAAAGGGACCTCATAATGTACAGATAGTGCTTTGTTAAACACCATCTTTCTGGATGTTTATTCCAATCATAAATGAAATTCATTGCATGGCTACACCTAACACCACCTTACATTTGTAAAACAGTACACAATTCTGAAAGCATTTTTATATGCTATTTAATTGATACCTGAAAAAGTCCTGTGAGACCAAATCGCATAGAGGGGAAAGACAACTAACAGATTCTGCTATGAGCTAAAACTTCTAAGACTGATTTATCAAAATAAGTAATTGTAATCCCTACCCTCAGGAGTGCTTCGTCAAGTGAAAGAGACAAAAACATGAATACATTCACATAATTAAAATGGGATTTTCTCAAAGGGTTTTAGAAGCACCCTGGAGAGAGCGGTTAATTATGCTTAAAAGAATAAAAGAAAGTTTCCCAGATGAGGTGAAGTCAGAGCTGCCCTTGAAGTGTGCATGGGGGTTCATCAGACAAAGGAGCATAAGGAAGAATGTCATTCTAGCCTAGAGTGGCAAGGCATGAGAAATGAAAGCGCACAGGGTGTGCCACTAGCAAATTCAGGGCATCTAAAGAGTTACTAGTCACCATAGGCCTGGCAACAGAGGCTGTGCAAAGAGTACAAAAAAGCCCTATAGATGCCATACGAAGGAATTGTACGTGTATTGATAGGTTATTGGATCTCACATTTTAATGTGTGTCACAACTACCCTCAAGACTTGCTGGGACCCATCACCAGAGTTTCTCATGGAGACAAGGTTGGGACTCAGAAATGTGCATTTCTAACAAGTTCCCAGATGATGCTGGTCCAGGGACCACACTTTCAGAACCACCAACATAGGCAATAGAAAGCCACCAAGAGTAAGGGGGCAGATTTGATGTGGATGCGTCTACTATTGTTTTTTCATTTATAAAGATATTTTTACAGCAGCACAAATGAGGAAATGGGGATAAGAAGAATGGACAGGAGACTACTGTTGGGAGAAAGCAGGGATCTGAATTTCAGCAATGGCACCAAGTATGAAGAGGGAAAAAGAGTTAAAGAAATAAGGAGGCAGAGCTGGTGGAGTTGAAGACTTAATGGTTATTTGTTGTGTAACAGATGGATGTGTTGAAGATTATTCATGATCTTCTTTTACCACCACAAAGTCATTTTTTCTAGAACAAAATAATCTACCTTCATCTAAGCTATTAGTAATCATTAATAAATGTTTAAGTCTCCATATATCTTGTATATCATAGAGGAAATGTTAAAGGAGTGTTAACTAGCTACTAAAGGATCATTGGGGAAAAAAGCAAAAACAAATCATGTCTGTGAAGTCACTACTTAAGTATAATGCTAAAATCTTAGCCAAAAACCTTCTAATACCCACATGAGGACTTAGTCAATTTTGTGCTGCCACTTTTCTCAAGTTAAGAGTTGAAATGTATAGGACATCGAGGAAAAAATGGGCAGATTATGACATTTTGTCTACATTGATTAAATTTAACAAGGAAGAGTTTTCTTTCTTCCAAGTGTCTACACCAACACTATTTTCTGCCCTTCCTTAATACTTGTTTTTCCCTCCTGATGGTTTGAATTGCTGAATGATAACTGGGGGAGAATATTCATTATGCTGGTGGCATATTTTTATGAAAGAATTTTCTACCAGATTAATATTTCCTAACTCTGTCAGTCGCCCAGGCCCCCTTACTCAGTCCTCCCCACAGGGAACAAACACTTTCTTTGTGGGCTTCACTGCACAATTCTTAAGTGACTTCTTTAGACACTTTTTAATGTGTTTAGAAGGCCTAAGAAGGAGAAGAGAAATGATGTCCTTATCTCAACGTGCATAAATAAATTCACACTTAAAAGACAACGCTAAGCTTAGAAATCTAACTTTGAAAGCCATTTTTTCACTTACCACCATAAAGTAGAGAACACAGTCGGCAGAACAGATGGTCTCAAAGACAAATGTTATTCTTCCCAGTTCAGAACCCATAGCTCCAGTCATAGATGTTGGTGGTCTATTTGACAGATTAAAATTACAATATTTATGAAATGTTCTAAAAAACAATCTGGAGCAAAATTGTTACTTTTTTCATTAAGCTGAAAGCCGTGCTTTTTTCTTTCTCCAATCTACTGTTCCCCTCAGCCCATTGTCTTCCTCACTTAATCTCCGGATGGCCATACCCTTAGTTCTAATATGGAGTCTACATAAGCATGTTAATACGCTTGCGTCTCCTGGTATAAATGGTACCACACATCCTAAAGCAAGAAAAAGACACCTACTGGGAAATTTCAACATGGAAGACTAAAGCAAAATGTGATTTAAAAATGTGTAACATACTAACTGACAGGTAGAACAGAGAAACAAGTAAATATATAAACCACAAGATACTACTGCAAGTAACTTGGACTAAAAATTCATCATCAATCATCTAAGAATCATAATTATTGTTACATTTGGATAGAATATTGTTAAAAACTTTCAGGTTCATCTGAGTAATATACAATTAATAGTTTACAGTGTCTCAATCACTGATTCTATCAATATTCTTAAATATAATACATTGTCTTACTTGCTACTTGCTAAGTACACCACAATATTAATCTACTTCATAAAGGCAGTCCTACTTTATTTCTATAGAGAAACAGGCATGAGGATTCTTACAGAAGAGAATCAGAATTGATTTTCCTTACTTAAATCCTGGGATTTGCAAGTTTAAGATCAGGTAATCATTATCAGAACCTCCAGCCCCACTTTGGATATGATCTCCAGCCACCTCCCAACCTGAAAATGATAAAGGTCATCTTTATTAGTAAAAATTCAATTAATGATTTCTAACAATCCTTTTAAATAAGGTTTTAAAAAAAACCATTAGTGTTTATGTTCAAAGTTTGAAATACTCCAAAAGAATTCCCGATTTTTAAATTGCAGTTGCAAATTGCACATAAAGGTAGACTCCTAGATACCAATGAAGACTTCCATATGATTCCCCATTAAGAATCAAACAATGCACATTTTTGCATAAAAGTTGTTTAATGGGAAAACTAATAACAGTTTTCTCAATGAGGCATGATTATCTATTTACACCTAAAATAGATGGATGATCTTTACCCAGTGGAAAATCTTCGTCTCCAGGTAACCAATGGGAAATGAAACTTCGAGTTACTTAATGAAGATGATTTGAGTTCTTTCTTATAGTTTGCTGTGTTGTTGTTCCCTAGTTTAACCCCTGTTCTGAATTCATTCACTTATTCTTTCACTCAATGGTATTTATTGAGTGCACAGAACCATGATATACACTAGGAGTAGAAAGACAAAGCTGGGTCCACCCTCATTGAGAAATCAGAAGAATGTGACAGAGACAAATCCTAACAATTGCCAACAGTGTGGGGTGATAGAGAAGTCTGTGCCCGGCACAGAAACTATCAACATACCATGGGCTGAAATGACAATAAAAAAAAAGAAGGGAGAAGCATCCCCCACACAGCATCCAGTAAGGTTGGTAATTAATGTCAATGACCTACCATTCACACTTCTATCTCTAAAGGACCATGTCAACATCTGCTACTGCAATAGGTATAAGAGAGAAATGAGGAAGGGGTTAATATCAGTGTTAGATTCGTGATTTGGCAATTTGTGAAATGTTATAATCAGCAGTTTATAGAAAAATAATGCGTTGAATTCATATAAATCAAGCTAGTCCTCAAAATAATATGCACTAATCTACTTGCTTATGAGAGAAATGGTCATTGTTCTGCTGTCTAAGGGTTCATGCGGTTAAACAGAGAAATAAGCAGGAATCAACTCTTAATGTGCAGACAGCTATAAAACAGTCTGATCCAGTGGGGCGCAAGGCCCTTGACGGCAGTGTAAGTAATGTGAAAGGCATTTAGGTTTAGAGAGACTGCAAACTTGTGGCTGGGTTATAGGAAGGGGGATAGTCCCATATGGAAGGCATCTATACGGAGAAAGGGAGGACTTATGAAAGTTTCCCGAAGATCCCTTCTTAGAGTTCAGAAACAGCATGAGGAGGGATGGACAGCAGAGAAGGCCAAAGGAAAGAAAGTAGTATATGGATAGTAAGAAGCTAAGTTTAGGGCAGACTAATATCCTTGCAAGAGGAAACACATTTCTCATGTTTTGAACATTGCCTGTTGTTAAAGGTTGAATTGTGCCCCCCCCACCCCAAAAAAAGATATGCTGAAGTCCTAACCCCCAGGACCTGTGCATGGACTTTGTTATTTGTAAACAGAGTCTTACAAATGTGACACAGAGACGCATAAACACAGGAGAACATGGCCACATGAAGATGGAGGCAGAGATTGGAGTAATGCTCCCACAGGCCAAGGAATGCCCAGAGCTACCAGAAGCTAGAAGCAAGGAAGGAAATTCCCCCTAGAGGCTTCGGAAGGAAAATGGTCCTGTCAACACCTTGATTTCTAACTTTGTGCATAATTTCTTTCTTTACCTCACATTGTTTCCTCGGTATAAATTCACAGAAGTAGAATTACTGAGTTGGAAAATGGGTACATTCATAATTCTTGAAACACTGCCAAACTGTTTTCCATATAGCTATCATTTTTAATGACTGCTTAACATTGCATCCACTGAGCATGGCTTAACTTTTGTAAACGTTATCCTGTTGCTGGATATTTAGATTATTTCCATTTTTGTTATTATAGATAACGTTCAACAAACAGCTTCATAAATAAATGGTAACTTGTCTTCAACTTTGAATTCCTTGTAGGCAAAATCCCAGTACAGAAAGATTTACTTCTCCGTGCCTGTTCTGCCATTGTGTAAAACCCAGACTGAGAATCCAGCAATCTCAAAGTATTCCAAGTCACACAGTCATGGTGGCCAAAGCACAGCCACCTTAACTCCATGACCATGACCACCTCATGAGACAGGCTGCCCTGGGCCTCTCGCTTTGACCCCCATTCCTTTGAGTGCTGTTCCTTTCAAAGTTGGTTACCAAACCTCCCAGTCACAAAAATATACATCACCTTTTTATATTTTTACTTTTCATATTATTGTTTGCTATTTCCATGTCACATACTAATAGTACAGATATGTATACTTTTCAAATTAATAATTGAACTTTTTGGAAAATTAGCAACAATTTAAATTCTTTCTTCTAAGTGAATGAGTAAGCAACTGGGTAAATCAAGTATTATTATGAAACTCAGATTGAGAGTAAACTCTAAAAAATTCAATGAAAGTTTCAGGTAATCTTTACTAGTAAGTGAATGGGCGCGCGCGCGCGCGCGCGCGTGCGCACGCGAACACACACACACACGTACTGATGCTTTCATAGAGTCATTCAAATCTTATTTTTCCAATGCCTTAACTTCCTCAACCTAGAATTCAATCATAGGATCTTTTTAGAACATAAACCCTCATGGTCAGGTAATAACTATTATCTATTTTTTTCTTCTCCCTTAGGATAAATTCCTATAAGTGGAATTACTGGTCAATAAAGACTATTTCATAATGTTCAATATGTACTGAGGTTTGTTTTTTCACACATCTGTTTAACCAACATTATTCAAGGACAAATTATTTGTCGATCCCCACACTCATGTGTATACCTCATTTCCTACATCCCAAGCCTATTTGTTTTGGATAGGTGCTGATTTAAAACTGATGCAGTTAAAAAGCATTATTTTTACAATGATTAAATACAACATTGAAAAAACTGAGCTGATAAAAAAATGTTAAGTTTATGAAAGTAAAGAATGCATTTTGGTGTAAAACCCAGTATTTGTAACAGCTACTCCTAGTGTCAAGTTTAAAAATACATATGTAGATATTGTCATTCAGTCAACCAACAAATATTGAATATTTGCAGAATAACTAAGTACTAAGCTCTCCAAGAATTTAAAATGTAAGAACAAATAAAATTCAGCAACCATCCTACAGAACTCTGCCATGCTTTCAAATTTTTAGTCAGTGGGGTACATCAGTTTTGTAATCAGGGACACAGACTTCACAGGCAAAGAGGTAGAGATGACTTAACCCCTCCTCACATCTCAGTGCTGAACCAGACTAAATCAGCCCAGGGAGAAATGCTATCACACTGCTCTTCAAAACGGCAAACAAAATAGATTTGCTTACCTCCCCTTGCACTCTTTTCTGGTATTTATAACCATAAATGGTGGCCCTCAATATCTACTTCAAAACTGACTCCAAAAAATGCAGAATAGTTCACATTCTTATAGGAAAGTCATCTGGCTGTAACACCACATTTACTATTTTTATGTGAGGTCTCAAAGACGGGCAAGTAGACAAATAAGATTAAAGTTCCTCTTACCCATATTTAGTATGTTTTTAGAGAGCTGAGTCGGAGAGTCTTTGCTGCCAAAATAAATCATTTAGGTTGATTCTGAACTCACCATTCATTCCATCACACTTTGAATTCCCAACATTGAAGCAGGAAGTTTTCATGTTGCTAGGAAGGACATTCCACCATTTATATTCAAACCCAAGCGCAGGCTCTGTTCCTGCTGGACACGGTCTACATTCTACAGGAGACAAGTGGAAAGAACAATTACTATTAAACTGCATCTGGACAACTTCCTGTTGCTTTGTGCCAAGTACTACTAAACTTTAATTAGCAAGAGGGAAGTGGGCAGGAGAGATACTGAGTCACCAACTCCCTTAAGAACCAATTCCTTTTCCAAAAGAAATCTGGAAAGAAAAATAACTCTGGATATATTATACACATATATACTTTTTTGAATTTTTATAAGAGTTTATTTGAGCCAAACTAACAACATATGCCAGGGAACAAGATCTCAAATGCTCCTGGGAAAAACAGTTTTGCTGTTTCCTTTATGCATTTGAAATTAAGGAGGGAATGTAAGGAAGATTATATGAAGTTGGGAAGAAGCAATGCAGGAATTGCATTACAGGACAGTTAACAAGATTATGTGCTCTCTTGAGAGTTAATACCACTTTGCAGGTATTATTTCTGGTGTTTCAAATGTTGTTAACTTAGATGCACAAGAATAATGGACAGGGCTAGCTTAAAACCTTCCACTTAAGAAGTAATAGGCCCGGGGTATGACTACCCACCATGACCTGCCCGGTTAGGAATTCATGATCCGATCACCCTGTGAGGTAACTTTCCATAGAACCACTTTTTGTGTCGTCCATGGTGTTGCCTTTTGGTCATATACACATACATGTGACTAACACAAAAAAAACGAAAAAAATACAAAATCTCTTAAAATAATTTTTCCCCTTCATTTATGGGAGTCACTGCTAATACTGAATTATCCTCCACAAGAAGAGTAATTTTGCAACAAGTTCTCTTATGCGTGATCTTAGAATCAGTTCCCCCCATCTCATGAATAAAGAAATATTTCACCCTTCCTATAGGTTATTAAACTGAACAGAATATTATATGATTTAATCATGGATTGATTACTTGAAATTCAAAATATTGGCTATGTTGAAAAATGATAGTAGGAGTTGGAGGGTTTGGAAAGAGTTAGGTTTATAAATAAACCTGGTTTAAATTAAAATCTGCAATAATGAAACGGAAGGGTGTTTTCTAACAATTTTTTAATTTGCCCAATATACTTTTCATTATCACATTAGTAAGATATGGGATAGGGAGAGAAAATATTCATTAAGAAAATATTCATTAAGCAAATATTGGTACAAAGTATTGTAGAAGACATTTTTATTTAACCTAGATTTTATTACCTACAATTTTACAGATGAGCTAGATATTATTATGTACAGTTTTACAGATGAGAAAATTGAGGTTCAGAAGATTTAAGATCATGGATATCCGATCAATATGGTGAAGTAGGTAAATGCTATGTTTACTTCCTCTCATGACTACATCAAAATTACAACTAGATTACAGAACAACCATCATTGAAAATAGCCTGAATCCTAGCTGAACAGAAGTCCTACAACTGGTGATTCCCTGAGACCCTGCCCAACTCAAGTTGTTAGCCCACCCAAGCCACTTCCAGTGCCTTTTCCATACAAACCATCTGTCTTGGCCCATGCTGTGGACTTTCCCAAAATCTGTCAAAGGTTCACAATCCCCAAACAAGCAGCACTTGGCCTTTGTGCCCCATCCCTCTTTCTGAGCAGCCCCAAGCCCGGCATTGGTGGCAGCCAGCCTCAGTTCCCAGCTTAGCCTCTCCCAGGCACCGCCAAGCTCAGCACAATTGAAAACCACCTGCAGATCACTTTTTAACTCATAACAAGTGGCCCCAGGGAAGGCACAGGCTGAGGCTGACTTGGCTTGCGTCAGGGCCCCTCCCAGGAGACTCCCGGGCTGATACACCTGGTGGCCCACTTCAGACCACATGAGAGCACCACCCAATCACCTCCACAAATGAAACACCCAAAGGGCAGACTGGGTAGACACGAGAACTCTTCTTAAGGAAATCCTGCTCCATAGGGTCAGGCCCTGAACAACAGCTCCTCCACTGTAGTCATGGCTCATCCTCACAACCAATCCACCTGAGGGTCAATCCCTCCCATTGAGGTGCAAACAACAACCAATGCTCAACCACAACGAGAGGACACACACAACCCACACAAGTCACACCTGCAGCATACAGCAGTTCTACCTAATACATAGAAGCAAACACAGGGAGGCAGCTAAAATGGGGAGACAAAGAAATATGTCCCAAATGAAAGAACAGAACAAAGCTCCAGAAAAAGAACTAAACAAAATGGAGACAAGCAATCTACCAGAGGCAGAGTTCAAAACACTGGTTATAAGGATTCTCAGTGATCTCAGGGAGAACTTCAACAAAGAGATAGGAAACATGAAAATGGATAAAGAAAGCATTTTTTAAGAAGTCAGAAATAAAGAATACAATAACTGAAATAAAGAATACATTAGAGGGGATTAACAATAGTTTAGATTAAATAGAGGATGGAATCAGCAATTTAAAAGATAAGTTAGCAGAAAACACCCAATCAAAACAGTAAAAAGTTAAAAAAAATCCAAAAAATGACAATAGTTTAAGGGGCCTCTAGGACAACATCAAGTCTACCAACATCCATATCAGAGGGGTCACAGAAGGAGAAGAGAGAGAGCATGGAACTGAAAACCTATTTGAACAAATAATGAAGGAAATCTCCCCTAACCTGGCGAAGGAAATAGACATACAATCCCCAAAACTCAGAGTCCCAAACAAGATGAACCCAAACAGGCACAGACCAAGACACATCATAATTAAAAAGCCAAAGGTTAAAGACAAAGAGAATCTTAAAAATAGCAAGAAAAAAGCAGTTAGTTACCTACAAGGGAGCTCCCGTAAGACTGTCAGCTGATTTCTCAACAGACACTACAGGCCAGAAGGAATTAGCAGGAAACAGTCAAAGTGATGAAAAGCAAGAAACTACATTTCTTATTCTACCCAGAAATGCTATCATTTAGAATCAAAAGACAGATAGAGCTTTCCAGACAAGAAAAAGCTAAGGGTTCATCACCACCAAACCAGTATTACAAGAAATGCTAAAGGGACTTCTTTAAGAAGAAGAAGGGGGAAAAAAAGATGAAAATATGAATAACGAAGTGGCAATAACAATATATTAGTAATTATTTTCATGTAAATGGATTGAATGCTCCAATCGAAAGACATAGGGTGGGGCCGGCCGAGTGGCGCGATGGTTAAGAACTCGCTTGGGATGCCAGAGGTCCCCGGTTCGGATCCCACATATGAGGGCCAGTGACACTGCCCTCCACAGCTAAGATGCTGAACAACAGCTCAACCTGGAGCTGGGCTGCCATGAGTCGCCGGCGACGGCATAGGCTGCAGCCACTGTGGCAGTGGGTTGTCATGGGCTACCGTGTGTAGCCAGCAGCCAGCGTGAGCGGCCAGCAGCCAGCGTGAGCGGCCAGCAGCCAGAGTGAGCGGCCGTCCAGAAGCCGGCGACTGATCTGCCTCGCCAGAGAAGAGCACAATGATGGTGCCAACTTGGGTCAGTGAAGCAACGTCCTCCACAACTAGATTGAAGAACAAAAGGACAGCAACTTGTCTGTTCCCCTTCCCCCAATTCCCCAGCACTGTTCCCATCCCCCCAATTCCCCAATAAAAATCTTTAAAAAAAAAAAAAAAAGACATAGGGTGGCTGAATGGATAAGAAAACAAGACCTTTACATATGTTGCGTACAAGAGACTTCAAATTGAAAGATTCTCACAGACTGAAAGTAAAGAGAAGAAAAAGATATTCCACGAAATGGAAATAAACAAGAACAACAAGAAAAAAAGCTGGAGTAGCCAATAATTATACCAGACAAAATAGACTTTAAAACAAAGGCCATAACAAGAAACAAAGAAGGACCCAGTAATCCCACTTCTGGGTATTTATCTGAAGAAATCCAAAACACTACTTTGAGTAAACATGTGCATCCATATGTTCATTGCAGCATTATTTACAATAGCCAAGATATGGAGGCAATCTGGGTGTCTGTCAATGAATGAATGGAAAAATAAGAGGTGGTATGTATGTACAATGCAGTTACTCAGTCATAAAAAAGAATGAAATCCTGCCATCTGCAACAGCATGGATGGACGTAAAGGGTATTATGCTAAGTGGAGTAAGTTAGAGAAAGACAAATGCCATGATTTCACTTATATATGGAATCTAAAAAACAAACTAAATGAACAAACAAAACAGAAACAAACTGATAGATACAAAGAATATTTTGATGGTTGCCAGATGGGAGGAGGGTTAGGGTTATGGGTGTAAAAGGTAAAGGGATTAAGAGGTATAAATCAGTACTTACAAAATAGTCATGGGGATATAAAGTACAGCATAAGGAAGATAGTCAATAATATTGTAATAACTATATATGGTGTCAGATGGGTACTAGATTTTTCAGGGTGATCACTTTGTAAGTTATACAAATGTCTATTCACTGTGTTGTACACCTGAAACTAATATAATATTTTATGTCAACTGTAATTATAAAATAAAATTATTAAAAATAACTTAGATAAATCACACTATTGGTGGCCTGTAGGATGTGGATTCAAACCCAAGTAAATTTGACTCTCGAGTCCTTTTTATGTTATCTCTCAAAGGCTCTGGATGTTAAGGATATGGCATGGCTGTATTTAAGTAAGACACCTTCAACTAAAACGCATGTACTCTTTGCCTATCAAAATTAAAACAAATTTTGTAACCACTTCCTATATTTATTTGGTAAGTACTAACATTTTTCCAACTTTACACTTCGAAACTAGTTAGGGACTACAGTAATACCTTAGTTTGAGAGAATAATTCGTTCCAGAAATAAACTACTAGTTGCAAGACATCGCCCATTTACCATGTTAAAATGTACTTGGTTTGCTAGCATAATTCATTCCAGAAACAAACTACTTGTATTGCAAGACATCGCTCTTTTACCAAGTTAAAATTATTAGAAATGTTTGCTCGTCTTGGAGAACACTCTCAAACCACGTTACTCGCAATCCAAGGTTTTACTGTATTTTAATTGCCATATGATCAATTTGAGCAATTTTTGCTCTTACGGTAGCACAAAATGTGATTTATTATTCCAGAGCTGAATTAGAAGATGTTATATTTTAGGTTTTCATCAATATATGTGTACACATACACTGAAAAAGGAGTGCTTATCCTGAATCACTTAATATGGTGGCATTTTCTTATCACTACCCAAAGGCGGAGTCATCCCATGAAGAGTGTGTCACACAAAATGCCATTAAAAATCCATCCTTGGGCCGGCCGAGTGGCGCGATGGTTAAGAACTGGCTTGCGACGCCAGAGGGCCCCGGTTCGGATCCCACATATGAGGGCCAGTGACACTGCCCTCCACAGCTAAGATGCTGAACAACAGCTCAACCTGGAGCTGGAGGGATGCCGTGAGTTGCTGGTGATGACGTAGGCTGCAGCCTCTGTGGCAATGGGTTGCCATGGGCTACCGTGTGTAGCCAGCAGCCAGCGTGAGCGGCCAGCAGCCGCAGTGAGCAGCCGTCCAGAAGCCGGTGACTGATCTGCCTCGCCCGGGAAGAGCGCAATGATGGTGCCAACTTGGGCCAGTGAAGTAACGTCCTCCACAACTAGACTGAAGAACAAAAGGACAGAAACTTGTCTGTTCCCCTTCCCCCAACTCCCCAGCACTGTTCCCTTCCCCCCAATACCCCAATAAAAATCTTTAAAAAAAAATCCATCCTTACGATATGTTAAATAAACCACTGCAGTCTCATGATGCCATCATCATATCTCTCAACTTTTAGTCTCCATGTGATAAGAAAAGTGCATTTTAAAGAATTATTTCATAAAAACAATTTAGAGCAAAGTCACAGCAGTACAAGATTATAATGCTAAATGTTCAATTATTGGACCAATAGATATCCTACCCTTTGTTCCATCTGAAAACGTTCCAGGAGGACAGGGATGGCAAGAAGAGGATCCATTGTTATAAAACCCAGGGTTGCAAGGTGGACAATCCTTCTTCTCTCCAGAAGGGGGCAACCTAATAGCATTTGTGAGCTCCTCCCGGCAGATTTTTGGCTCTATCCACTTGTACATTATCTGTGTCTGCAAAACAAGCTTGCAAGTCATAAAACATCCTTTATTTGCTTTAAACTTACAATAACAAAAATGTTAAGCTGACAGCCTAGGAAAAAAATCCAAATAGTGACAGAACAGAAGGGCCAACTTTAGAGAATCTAAAACATTAATGACAAAAAGACAAAAAGAAGAAAACTTTGGTGGGAAAACGACCGTAATTACTTCCAAATATTTTTACCCTAAGCTACAGGTGGCCTTACTTCATACATAGCATGGACCTCAGCATGAAATTCCTCTTTAAATATAGATAACGTAAGTATAACCTTTACTCTTCTATCTATACTCATTCACTTTACCCCGTAACTGACAAAAGTTCTATGCAGAGACTAGCTTTTTCATTTTGAGACCTCTACTATTCTTTTCTTCTTCCTCAACGACTGTACATATCACCAGGCTTTCTGTATGGTGATCACAAAAGAAAACAATTGCTTTTAAAGAAGAATATATCTAGCTTCACATTTTAATTGTTATTTCATAAACATTAACAGTTGCTCTTTGAGTCTTTTTCCAATAACCTGATATTAGACTCCAAAAGCTGTAGCTAAAATATTTTCTCCTGAGGCTTTTAGGCCCTGTTGCATGTGCTCTGAACATCAGGATTAAGACAGCCTCTACCCTCAAGACGGGGAATCTTTTTACACCTTATTGTTTCATTCCTCTCACACATGCATACACCCCCACACCATAGAAAATGTAACAAAATAGCTGTAACTCAGCCAAACCCAGAAAGCTGTGATTATAAAGTTATTCTCTTTTGAAACCAAAACATTAAATAGGTTAATCATTTCAAAAACAAAACTGGTATGCTCAGTGGGTGGGTGTGTGAGGGGGGCAGCAGGGGGAAGGTATTCTAAATGTAAAAAGAAAAATAAATTATTTTATAGCTAAATACAGTTTTTAAAAAGAAATTAAAAGCTTCCTTCATCAGACATATAATCTGCTGAAAGTATTCTTTCTCCTTTAAAACAGCTTCTGCAATCAGTCTAATACTGAAGCTGGAGAACAAAATTAAAGCCAATTCTCTCTTGCTATTTCCAGTTAATAGAAAATCACATATAGTAAGCCCGGTAGGTCGTTCAATTTTATTCTCAAGTATTCTCTGATGGAAGAGTAAACTGCCTTATCTGAAGAAGGATGCTTAAGAAAATGATTTAAAAGATAGATGTCTCAACCGAATTATAAATAACATAGTTTTTATTTTTACAATCCTCTCGGTATTCATTTCATAGCCTGTGTCATGAAACAGTTTAACCAGCCACTTCACCCATCTGCCTCTCTCTTATCATCTATAAAATGGTGGCCACTCCTGCTGGAGCTTCCTCAACAGCTGAAAAAATAAATTAGATCCTATAACCCTAAGGGGTTCTCAACTCCCCTGAGAAAGGCAATATAAAATTCAGAGACTCTAAGCAAATAAAAACATCATTATATTGGGGGGATGGGTTTTTTAAAATTCTGACTTAACAAGTATAGAAAACAAATCTCCAATCCTCAATTCACAAATCTGTTTACTTATTTTGACATTAATTAAAATCGCACTGAGTCATGTACGAATTCTGCAGTGTTGGGAATACACGGTTCCCACGTGGGAGTGGGGGCGGTTCTGAGGCTGCGCACTGAGGACTGATCCTGGGGGCAGGCCGTGTACTCTTCCCCACCACTTTGGGAAGTCGGTATTATTATCCTCAAGTTTATAAATAAGGAAGCGGTTGAACAACTTGCCCAAAAGCCATAACACAGCTAGTACACGGTAAAGTAACACGAGTCAAGGAGAATCAGCTTAGAAACGGTAAAAATATGCAAATATATATTTTGACAGGTCAGCTAACCACCTGTATTTCAATCCAAGCACAACAAATATTTAAAAATGTGTACCAGCTTTAAACATTTAGAAGTCAAATTCAAATTCTCTAGTACAAGTTTTGTTTACAAAGCCTGCCTCACATGGCAGATTGATTCTGTGCCTCTCCTGCTCAGGGGGACAGATGCTTCCAAGCCTGGCTGACTGGGGAAAGCTAATAAGTCATATTAATGACACTTAGCACCAGATGGCTCACAGCGCAGGTGAGAAACCAACAATCAGTTCATTGTTTGGCAAGTTGAGATAAAATTATGAAATGTTTCATGAAACCAAAACCCTAATAGAGCAAAATTGACCAGATTGCTATTGAGATTACAGAAGAACTGTAGTGTTCGAGTATACTGATATTAACCATAATAAAATATGCTTAAAGAAACATGTAGGTATCAATTAGAAGCTGATTCTCATATCAAAATAAAATTCAAGGTTGGGAGGACTAAAATTTAGACAAATTTTCAGACTGGATTTGTCTGTGGCTGCCTGCTTCCTTCCGTCAAAGGTCTTGCACACGTGCTCCAAGGCTTCGCAGGCTGGCTGAATTCATCGGAGCTCAATTACATTTGCTTTCAAAAGGGTCTACCAACTGCCACTCCCACCTAACTGCCCGTGCTCCATGGTGTTCCAGCTCAGAGGGTCCTAACCAGGCAGGCTCCGGCTTGCCTCCCAGTGGCTCCCAAACCTTGATCGTTTCTAGGTGCAACCCACTGGGCACTCTGTCTCTCTTGAAATTGCTCATGCCATTCTGCCAAGTTGTTTCTGTCCCCTCCTTCCAAGCCATGCTCAACAGCCACACCTGCTCTGATCACGTTCTCAGCCCACCTATCTACATAGCAGCACCCATTTTGATTCCTTTTCTATGAAGCATTTGCTGTTTTCTCTTTTCCCTTGTGATTGGTTACCTCCATGTCCCCTTTCTAAATATAAAAAAAAGCCTGGGTCCTCTTTATGAAGACAGCATGGAGATTTAACATTGTACTGGGAATTCTAGTTAGGGTGTTAGGCAAGAACACGTTCTAAAATTAGACTGGGTTGAACATACGAAACACATTGAATTGACACTTTAAGTGGATGAATTACACTGTATGAGAATTACATCTCAATAAAGCTCTTTTTCTTTAAAAAAGGTTTTAAAGAAGACTATCATGAAGTGTTTATTTTAAACAAATTCAAAAATTCCTAGTCACTGAGAAATGCTGTGTTGTTTTCCCATCATTCTAATTAAGAAACAAGTATATTTGACTTGCTTCAATCATAGAGGAAGAAACATAGATCTGAAACCCGTATCCCTTTATACCCAATTTTTTAATGTCTCCTGTATCTTTCTCCTGCTATATGATTCAGAAGTATTATGTTACAGATACTGAGTAGTTGGAATACTTTGTAATACTGAAATTCATTAAAGGGCAAAGAAAAGTGCTAGACAATCTGATACCAAAACACTAGCAAACCCTCTAGGATCCATCAACTTCCTAGACTCAGAGATGAATAAATTGTAGGTCGAATGTCTTCTCTCAAGAAGGCGCCTTCTAAAACATTCTTCCCTACTAATCATCTTTACAAGTATTTGCAATGATACCAAAACACAAACAAATCTGTGATCAGCATGTAAGTATCAAGAGAGATACGTAACAAATTCTGTGGGAATTCCACATATCAAGTATATCAAGACAATCTTTCCGGATCTATTTATGTTATTCAAGAGTGCATGCATGCTGGGAACCTGCACAGAATCACTCTCTTTTTATTGTGGTAACAGACACCATCTTTTTCTCTTCAGGAACTGACACATGTGACGTTGAGAGGAACTGGGAGTTATGTAGTCTGGCCTCCCCACCGCAGGGATTATCAGGGAACTAAACTGTCCTACCAGGGTAGTCCACACTCCTGGACTGAATGGGTGATCTGAGATGGGCTGGTGATTCAAACAGGGCTAATCAGAGTCTTCTCTGAAATTGTGGTCCGCATTCCTACAATCATAACCCATTAGGATGATAGTGGCTTTCCCAGGAAAAAGCCTGCCTGAAAAGGGCATCAAATGAGCCAAGAATATCAATGAGAAGAGCAAGAGAACGTCTTTAAGCTATTTGCTCTACTTGACTTCCCATCGCATGAGACAAGAAACTCCTGCCCCGCCTCCCCCTACCCCAATTCTGAAAGTATTTTTTTAATTCGTTAACAGGATTTTATGATTATCCCCAAATGCAGAAGCAAAACTAATACCTTGTTTTGCCACCATTACAAGGAAATATGTGCATCACATTCCATAATTGGAGGTTGGGGACACCACATTTTACCCTGAAATAAAACAAACCCTCCCTCCCCCAAAAAAGTTACTCTGTTTAGTTCTAGTACCCAAAACAAAAACTTGAACCCTTTTCTGTAGGTTGCTGACTCACTAACAAAAACAACCTTATCCCCCTGGCTTTTGCAAGCAGATATGAGACTACTTTTGTGGGTATGACAGATAAGTGAGAGGCTTGCTTTTCAAGCATGAAGAGTTGAATTGAACACTAAGTATTCTTTGGATTCTTGGGAGGTTTTCTTCCCTTTAAATATAGGTTGTTGCACTTTTTATTTGTTGAGACAGCTCTTCTAAAGCTTGGATTCTCTTGGAAATCTTTTTGGCAAGGAATGTTTTCTTTTTTCTAAATACTTTTATATCTGAGACGTTCTTTTACACAATAAATTTTTATTTTACTAATTTAACCTTATTGTTCAAGCACACTGGTATCTTTCTCAGTTCTATCATTCTTCCCAGCTTTATTGATTTACAACTTTATATACTTATTTATTCCTAATGTCTTCATGCAAGTTAAGAGGTTCTAAATGAAATGTTGAAAATAAGTCATCTGAATTCATGTTCTTGGTATGAGTTAGGATATGTATAAACTCTTTGTTAAATTTATATTCCTATGGCAAATATATGATACCAATTGTACTCATAGCTAATATCAACTACATTTCTGGTTAATATCCATTTTTTAAATCAACCATTTTACATATAGTTCTTCAGTTAGCCATGTGTCCACTTAGCCACATCATTTAGTCCACAATTATCCTGTCCATAGACAGATAATGAGAAGCTCTATCAAATGTCTTGCTAACA